CTTGGGTTGGGTAGTTTCCTATGGAACAAATCTTCCAACAATCAGGAGAATAGTATCCTCATTGTACCTGTTCTGGGAGTTGAGTAGAAGAAGAGGACTGAATAAATATGACATTTGTCATGAAACTTTAATTTAACCCCCTTGCATTTGATATGATAGCTTAATATAATGTCCTTGTGTCCAAAAGTTCAGAGCCTCTCTAGCTCAACCTCTTCAAAAATAAGTCTCACATTTTCTGATGGAATAGACAGAAATTGTGTTGCTTTTAAAGGATGGGAAAGAGAGCTAAATTCTTTCTATTCCTGGGCCTCGGTTGAGCTTCTGCAGCACTGGTTCAATCCCTGGCCGGCTGGCGAGGGTCCCTCAGCAGTGTATTTCCTCAGTCTGCCTGTTCTGCTCCCCGCTCTGGCTCTGGTGGATTCTCTCACCTTCTCACGCTTCTGACTGTACCCAGTGCTTGTATAAAATAAATAAATAAATAAATAAATAAATCTTTTAAAAAAACACAAAAAACAAACAAACAAAAAAAACAAAAAAACTCTTTCTACTCCTTATGAAAATTTTCAACCAGGTCTACAATGTTGACTTTAATTCAGCATTCCCACTTTTAGAGCTACTGGGCATCCCTAATTCCTGAGTGTAGCTGAGATTCTGTACTTTATTTTTTTTTAAGATTTATTTTATTTATTTATACAAGCACTGGGTACAGTCAGAAGTGCAGGAGGGTGAGAGAATTCACCAGAGCGGGGAACAGAGCAGGCAGACTGATGAAATACACTGCTGAGGGGAGCAGCAGGCGGCAGGAGAGACCTGCGTGCCATGTGGGACCCTTGCCAGTGGCCGGGTATTGAACCGGCTCTGCAGAGGCTGCGGGCAGCTTCGCAACCCAGTGCTCAACTGCTGCACCACCAGGGGAGGCCCGAGATTCTGTACTTTAAACCGCATTACCTTTTGGTCACTTCCTTCCCTGTAGGTATAGTCTATGAGGTTAGGTAAATTCTACTTTTCCATCCTTTTTCAGTTCCAGAATTCTGTTCATATCTCATGTGCATGCCTGTTGCCCTTAGCCTTAAGGATTTATGCCTTTTTTGTTTTACTCTCATGTGAATTCACATGCTTTATTTGTCATGTTTAAATGGAAGTCCCTGACACAAGGTTTCAGGGCACGGTTACAAGGAATTAAAGATGTCAAGTGGTAGTAAATATGTCATCATAATAATAGTGACATAATTACTGCAGAGTATATCACCTTGCCCATCTAAACTTGCACAATTACAATACTTGTTTTGCTTACTCTTCTTGCCTCCCAACCCATAGTAAATTTTAGTCATATCACCTTCTTAGCAAATAGTCCACCTAACACAAACTATTACAAATAATATTGTAAAAAACAAAGAATTTCATGCAGAGATAAGAATTTTGTCACACATCTGTGAAGGGTTCATAAAACTGACATGTTGATTAGGATCCTATCCTTTAAGTATAGTCTGGTTTAGTCTGGCAGGGTTGAAATGTATCTTCATTTCAGACAGCTCAGAGCTTCTGTATTGACGTCTGAAAGGTGTGAGATCTACTAGATTTCCCAGATTTCTTTGAGGGCAAAGAGTGTGTCTTATTTCTATCATATCTGTTGGGCCTAGAAAGACCTGAAATACATGCATAATAACTATTTATTGACAGGATTAAGAGATGAGTCTCTTCCTACCAATGGACTGTCTGGCCTTTATCAAATCTTTTGTTGGATTGGAATGAAGCCCCAACAGAGAAGATAACTTATGAGAGGTGTAGAGGAACAATAGGGTTAAGAATGGGGCTTCAAGGGACAGCTACACTTACAAAATAGCAGAGGAAGAAATGGAAATAGATGGAAAATCAGGAGAGTGTGGGGTCATGGAAGCCACATATGGGCCTTGCAGGCAGCATCACATGAAGTCACATCAAGTAAGATGAGGGCAAGGAAATGGAGGTTGAACTAGGTCATGCTCTGCCTTCTGCCAAGCATTGACGCCATCACAGCTTACTCTGTAGACAAGGAGTGCTTCAACTCCCAAGACGTTTGTGGTCAGAGCTGTCTTTGTAGTAAAAGATGTTGTCTTGAGTCCTGAATATGTTAGAAATTATGTGTTGTATGAATGTGTGTCTGTGTGTTGGAGAGATTTTACTGGGGGAAAGAGAACCAGAGCCCAAAGACTGCAATAGGAGGCTAAGGAGGATATGAGTTGCTCATGTGTAATCAACCTAAACATAGACTTTCTTAATGAACCTAGTTTAGCCTGAATAAAAAAATGTTCGAGTCACAGAATAAGAATCCTATAGTGTGATTTGCTCCCAGCCATTAGTGATCTTTGTCCTCTACCACTGGATTCTTCTGTAGAAACACCACAGCCAGGAATTTGGAAATCAGTAGTCTTCAGAATTACTATATTTCATCATCCTAGGATGCTCCCCCTCCCACATCACTGAAATGTGATTATTTGGCAGTTTAGCCGCATTTTCTTCTTTCTGAAGGGCACATGACATAATGGTGTATTTTGTCACTGGTGGTCCTGATGAAACAGCAGTGGAAAGAAAATAATATTCACTCAGCAACCACATATCAAGGCACATCTCTCAAATGAATTTAAAAGTGGTATTTTTTTTAAGATTTATTTATTTATACAAGAGTTGTGATACAGGTACAGGCCAGAGACGCAGGAGGGTGAGAGGACTCACCAGAGACAGTGTGGGGAGCAGAACAGGCAGGCAGACAGACAAAAAGTACTGCTGAGGGGAGCAGCGGGCAAGACAGGCGAGGTCTGCCACACCATGTGAGTATCTCCCTGGCCAGCCGGGAATCGAACCCACACTGCAGAGGCTGCGGAAAGCTTCATAGCACTGCACTCAACCTTCTGTGCCGCCAGGAGGGCCCTACATTTAGTATTTTGAAATTTGTTTTACTATACAAGTTGTTGCGGGAGCCTGATCTCAATGGTCACTTCTCCCGTGGACTGTGGTTCTCTCATTTGTGTGGCCACGGTCAGCAGTTAACTTAGGAGCTGGGGACCTTGTTGGCCTCCCGGCCCCTGGAAATGCCCCATTAGACTTTCCTATCAGATGCTTCTAGATAGATGCTCTCACTGTGTTCTCATTACACAAAAGCAAAAATTTTGCAGAAAGAATCAGTTTAGATTGAAAAACCATGTCCCTTTAATATTTATACAAACATAAGTGTACCATTCTTTCATTGTGGTTTAATTGAGAAATATAATTTTTTAATTAATCTAATTATTGGGTTTTTCTTTTTGAGGTAACATTGGTTTACAACACTGTGTATGATTTAGAGGAACAATATGCTTCCTCAGAAGCATATTACCACACCACACCCACTATCAAAGCACCCACAGTCCTGTCCCAAAGACCAGTGGGCCCCCCTCATCCCATTGTTCCCACTCACACTTCCCTTCCCCCCAGTAGCCTCAATTCTTCAGTCATAGAGAAATTTAATTTTTAAAACAAAGATATATCTTTGAGAATGTGCAACATCTAGATCGACTGTTTCTGTGGAACAAAGGATTAATATTTAGATTTTGAAATTTTCTTATTCTCTTTTAAAGTAAATTTCATCCTGTTCACCCTGCCTTTGCTCCCTCTTTGAAAACACTACATACATGTAGATGAAAGTCACAACAGATCATAAATGTATTTGCAGGCAGCCCTGAAATCTGTGACTAGAATGGACCTCAGTTGCTATAAATCACAAAAATCAACTCTGCAAAAGTGTTTTTTTCCTGAAGGAGGAGAAAAACCTTCTTGGTTTTCCTTTTAGTGAGTATCAGCAAAGCATTTCTCAAACTGATCATGAGAGAAGGAGGAAAGGAAAGTTTGGGAATGTGTCCTCAGGGAGATTGTTATGCATGAGCATTATAGTTCTAATGTGACATGCTGCTGGGTAGCATGTGTGAATTGTACATCCATAATTTGAATGATTGTTCATTTCCCCAGAATAGTACATTTCCATATTGCTTGCTCTTGCTACTTTTGTGCATACCTGTATCAAGTCAAAAATTGCATCTTGCACATTTCAAATGCTCCTCCATAGTCTTACAATCTTTTTCCTTCCTTTTCTTCCCTCCCCTTCCATCCCTTCCCTCTTGAGTGGTAAGTCTAATTGCATAATATTCTTTGCAGACCAAGTCCCTCCTCTGCTTAGGTCTGCTTGTGCTGCTTCTTAGGACCTGACAAGATAGGAAGGCTGATGCAAACTTAGCCATTTTCTGAGTTTGCTACTTCAGACCCACTTAGTCACCTACTTTGAATCTGAATCTTAGCCCATCTAATTTAAGAAGACTGATGTCCTTGTATTGTTTTGTGGGTCAGTTCAGCCAGAGTGCAGCCCCTCGCGTGGCAGGTGGCTTACCAGCTAGGCCTCATCCACAAACCATCTGTGCCCTTGCACGTTGCTCCCGCAGAGACCTGCTTCCTGCTGAGAGGTCAGGCTTGTTTTGAAGAATGTTCTCTAATTTCTTTTCTAAAAAAAGGTCCGCAGACATGCATCCACGCAGAGCATATAGAGAATTGATGGGAGGTGGGAGCTGAATAAATCACATCTACATTCCCTTGGCTTCAATTATCTGTCATTTTGGCCCTGTATCAGAATAGTTGCCTTGGTCCACTTTCTCCCCCTACACACAGCCACCACTGATGAAAAGTGGGAAAGAGATACCTGTGTTTGTATCTGAAGTTTACATCTGGTTGAGATCATTTACTTGGCATTTATGACTGTCATCAGGAAATTTTCTCAATTAGTTTGAGAAAATAGTTAAAACGTAGAGTATAATGAATTGTTAGCATAACAGTGACACAACATAAATGGATTTGGACCAAATATATCACATTCTTTCCTCTGATAACCGAAGCAGCTTTTGATCATTCTTCTTTTTAGGAGAGAAAACTATAAAAATTATTTCTTATGGACTTTATGTTTCAGCATGCCATTCTTTTCTTTCTCTTTTCCCCTCAAGTGAAAAGAATAGCCCAAAGAGAGGAAATTAAATCAGAGGCAAATAACATCACTGTTGCTGATCTTGAATGTGTCATCTGCAGAGGAAAATTGGGTATGTGCCCTCCTGCCCCACCCCCTAAATTGAATTTTATTTCCTCTCTTGCTAACAAAAGGTTGCCCAAACTTTCTGTTTTGAGTCTACATTCAGGGAAGGGGTAGTGGAATGTGATCCCACCTTCTGATTACCATTAATTACAGTAAGTAGTGTTTTGAGGTTGAAACATTTGATTGATTTTTTTTTCTCCTGGTGGGCTTATAACATAGAAAGAAAGCAGTTAGGGAAGCAGTTAGGGAAATCTAAAGGAGACTGACATTTATTTTGCTTTTCACTGAATTTAAGAAGACTTATTCATGCTGGTATATATCTCCAGGTAAATTTAGAGTATTTCACCAACAATTTATATTTTTAAAATGTGAGCAAATTTTATCATCCCCAAAGGAGACAGTATAATGTACTCTGAAAACTAAAACATACAGAGGTAGACTGATAGAAAACAAGGAAAATGATGATTTTAAGGCCCTGTCTCACTGACCAAATGACTCAAAGAGCAATTTGAAGAAAACGAAATATCCACACAGAGCAGTATGTGTCACTGGCCTGAATTTCATGGGCTTTTCTAAACCCAAGCCAAACTGGATTTTTACATCATTTTTCATTTTTGTACAATGTTTGCATTTTCATCTTGGTTATATTCCCCGTGAAATTCCCACCACCAATTCACCCATGAACTATCACCATGGTCCCTTGTGCTCTTCCCACCCTTGTTTTGATCCTATTCCCTTCCTTTCCTGCATTATGTCTCTGGTTTATAGTTGCCTGTTGATTTTGATTTTTACTTTTTTATAATTAGTTTTTTTTCCTGATCCCTTAGTTGGATCCTCTGCATTCTTGCTGTAAGTGAGACCGTCTAGTATTTTTCTTTTTCTTTCTGGCTTATTTCGCTGAGCATGATTCCTTCCAGCTCCATCCATTTTGCTGCAAATGGCATGAGTTTATCTTTTTTGATTGCTCAGTAATATTCCATTGTGTATATGTACCACATCTTCTTGATCCAGTCATCTACTTATGGCATTTGGGTTGTTTCCATGGCTTACCTGTTGTAAGTAGTGCTGCAATAGACATAATGGTGCAGGTATCCTTTTGAATTAATGTTTCTGTGTCCTTTGGGTAGATACTTAGGAGTGGAATTGCTGGATCATATGGAAGCTCCATTATTAGCAGATTGAGGAACCCTCTACACAGCAACTGGATTTACACTGGGACAGAGGGAATGGATATTTTTATTAAGAGTTACTTTAGAATCATACTGCCAAGGATTCAGATCTCCTTGGATATATGGTCTCAAGAAAATATAAAACCCATACTTTTTTTAATAATTTATTTTTTACATCTGTGTTCATTTTTAAACAATATTTGATTCCCCCCCTCGCCCCAGGTGTAGTCCCCATAGAATTTCCTTCACCAATGCATCCGTGCACCATCACCACAGTCCCCTGTGCTCCTCCCTCCCTCCTTCTGATCCCTCACCTTCCTCCTCCCCTGCAGGATGTCTCTGGTTTACAGTTGTCTGTTTTTGTAAAACCCATACTTTTTTACCTACTTGTATAACTTCTTCCTATACAATTTTCTTGTCTAAGGACTTTCGGTTCTGTGGCATATTTGCTTTGGGAAAGGGAAAAAAAGGTTGGTTTTCAGTAGCATGCTAACCCTTATCATTCAAGACTCCAGCTAGATGCCAGAGAAACAGCTCAGTTGTGTGCTACAGGTGTGCACCTAGACTCCCTTACCCTCAGCTCTGCAATTTAGTTTGAACTGAACACACATCCATTCTCTTTATTCGGACATCTATCCAGAATTTTACCTCAGAGACAACCCAGGAGAGTGATTAATATCACTGCCCCAGGCTGTGAAGGTTTGAATCCCAGCGCTGCCACTGACCAGCTGAGTGACCTTGGCAGATTCCTTAACCTCTCTGTACTTCAACTTTCTCAGCTATAAAATGGGAATAAAATTATTTTTACTTCAAAGGGTGACCATTAAGTGAATCGATGTAAGTAAAGCCCATGGAACATTGCCTGTCCCATGGTAAGCACTTTGTAAATATTACCTATTATTCCTAAGACCTTAAGCTGAGACTAAATTTTTAAGTTAACTTTTAGATTTAAAGGTACTCTGTACAATATTCTTTTAAAACTGAGATAAATATAAATTAGACAGATGATAAGAATGGACAGTATTTACCTTGTGAGTTTTCTCTTCTTAGTGTATAAATGTTCTGAGCCCACAGACTCTGGGGGTCCTGCAAGGGATTAGTCAGGTAGAATTGGGGGGTGCTATCTAGGAAGTAGCTCTTTCATCTCACATAGGAATTAAGATTTTCTGCTCCCTCTAGTTGAGTCTCTAGTTCATTCCCTGGTGTGCCCAATAGCTGGCTGGACTTCTCAGAGGCAGGGCCGCACCTGGTACTTTACAAAGAGCCTCAGGGCTTGTCTGGCTCAAAGGAGGCAGTCAAGTTCCTTGATGCCAACTGAGATGAGGATGAGTTTTCAGAAGCTACGGACCACTCCCTACTCCCCCTTTCCTCGCAGTTGGAAAAAAAAGTACAAGGGGCACATCACCCCCACTCAGCACTGCAGTGCCAGGTGCTCTCTGGAGGTGTTTGATCTGACAAGCACAGTCGTTTAATCTTCCCTCTGGTGTCAGTCAGCACGATGTCGGGTACACAGGGAAAGATCACTGCTGATAACTCGTCCAGAAACCCAAGATCAGAATCACAGTCTGGATTTTGGTTAAAAGAAGATCCGCGAGTTCATTTTTACCTTTTAGTGGGGAGATTTCTAGTTCATTTTGTCAGTGCTGTTGTTGTATCGTGCAATTAAGGATGTTTATTTCTCTAGAAAAAGATAGTTCATGTTCACAGATATGCTCTGAGCGTGCCCTGTGCAGGTACTGAATCAGGCCCAGAGGCTCGCCTGGTGCCTGCCAGGAGCAGGGAGTCTAGATGGGAAGGGACCATGAAATAGAGCACTGCAGAACAACTGGAGAGATTAAAAACATAGCCCACTCTGATGCCCAGCTGGGGTTAAGAGGCCCCTTGAAAGAGGACGTTCTGGGGAATGGGAGCATTGAGCAGTTTCCCTATCCTGGTTACTTGCTATGAGGGGGTGGCTGTGAGGGGGTGGCATTAGAGATCATGCTGGGCCCAAAATTACCATCAATGTTTTTTATGAGTGAGACAGATGTAAACAAGGCAAATATGTTACATTTCACTTAAAGTTGACAGACACAGAACAGACTGGTGGCTATAAGAAAGGAGAGGAATTGCAGGGTGAAGTCAGTGATGGGGTGAAGTCAGTGATGGGGATCAAGAGGTACAAAGCTTCAGTTATAAAATAAATAAGTCACGGGGTTGCCTTCTGCAGGGCGGGTAGGGTAGAGGTGTCACAGGCAATAATGTAGTATTGCCAATTCGAAAAATTACTGAGAGTGAGTGGGAAGTAGACTTATTGTGGGCAATATTCTGTATTGCATGTGAATGTCAAATCGTTATGTCATACTATATAATGTCCTTTGTACTTCAATTGAAAAATAAAAATAAAGTGAGCAGTAATTCTTTTTGTTTTTCTCTAGGAAACATTTGAAAGTTTTTTTCACAAATACCCAGGGAACAGTGAATTAAATAGCATTTTCACAGGCTTTCTTCTACCACCGAAGCCATTTTTGGTGTTGCCTCTGTAAGGGACAGATAATTAGAACTAATTATTGTCTCTGTTTCCTGTTTGGAGGACTGATAATTTGAACTAATTGTTATTTTCCTTCCCTTCACTTTTGCCTTCCAATCAGCAAGTGTAGTAGATTCTTTCTTCCAAAACTTTCCACCTCAGTGTCCCCCATTCAGGTCACATCTGGCCAGAATTTCCTTGAACAGTGATTCTTCACTTGAAAAAAATATCTTAGTTCAGAGGAGGTTGTGATAAGAATGACAAAGTAATAATACTAACACGAGTACTGCTTGTTGGCTGTTTGTCACATACCAATAACTATGCTCAATGCCTTCCAGGCTTTGGTTTGTTCAGTCCTTAAAACAACCCTACAAGGCGGTTACAGTTACTCTGTCCATCTAACAGGGAGAAAATGAAACCCTAGCGAGGTTAAGTGATTTGTCTGAAGCCATTGACCAGTGGTAGCATTCCTTTGTTTGAAGAACTTGGCTCACTGACAGCTACTTTTTAGCTTAAGGAAGGTACCAATTGCTTCTAGTTATTTTTCAGTTGTACTTTTGGAAGATGGAGGCTGCCACATTTAAGGCCATCTGAAATCTATAAATTAGGATTGTTATTTTTATGGGTCTTCATTTTTACTTTTCTTATAACTGCTTCTGTTACGTATATAAGAATGATATCCAAAATAGAGGAAAAGCTTACTATTAGAGACTGCTCATGAAACTAATAATTTCTCCAGCAAGTGACTTAAAATGGAAGACTAATTGTATAATTACAGCATTGAAGGTTTTAGCTATAATCACCATCCATTGAATTGAGTTGCTATGTGGGCAGTTCGGTTGATAATGTTCTTCAGAGTACATAGCATGTTCTCTGCTTACCAAGGCAAGCAGAAATTTGAGGTTTGGGATTTACAGCCCTCTTATTAGTAAATATATCTAATTTCTTCTACAGCTTACACCTACTTTGACAAAGGGAAATTTGGAAGCAGTTACTTGAGAACAGTTTGAATAACACCAGGATAATTGAAACAGGCACAATGAAGCACTTCCTAAGGTAAGTGTTTTTGGTCCCTGAATGAGCCCCCAAAATGGAGAAATTTTCTTGACAATTAGGATAATATTTCTAGGATACTGTAACCAGCTCTCTTAGGATCGCAATTATACTTAGACTAAGAATAATTTGGTCTCAAGGTTCCCCTGCTAATGCTCTATGTGTTTTGATGCTATAAGAGAACACTTAGAAATAGTAGATATTGAGGTTACCAGAGAGCAAGGGCACACTAGCCTGGGACAGGAGTACTCTGAACAACCTTGATGCCGTGTGTGTCCAAAAAATGGTATGTTGCTGGCCTTAAGGTCAAGGTTTGAGGAATTAGTAATCAAGGAGTCAACGCAATTTGTGTAGAATCATTTAATTTAGATATTTTTGTCAAGTGGCCAAACCACAGAGGTTTTCAGTAAAAGTTTATATTCTAAGCTTCTGCTTTTCCCGCTTCAGTGATAGCTCAGAAATCTGCCTTAATTTTGATTCCCTGAAGATAGTGCTGTGCAGAGTATTATCTATGTTGGTGTGTTTAGGGTGGTCTCATTGTTTTGAAAGCCATTTGGCTGGACCTAGAGTTGTATTTATTTTGATGAGTATTAACTGTCATTCACATTCTACTAATGAAATTCTCAGAGCAGTTTTTCATGATAATAAAACATGACAAAATAATGTTAGTCTGGTCTTGAGAGTTAGAAAATAAAACACACTTTCCAGAAGACTGAGTTTCATTCCCTCAAGATGGTGGCCTCTATTAACACAGTCTTACCCCATGCTGTCTTATTTTCTATCAGTATATAATTACTGGGCTTAACTTCTTTTCAGCAATTATTTCATTCTTTTGATGGCTGCCCTGCAAGAACATTCTTTTCCCCACTGGTTTTGGCTACACTGTTGTTTCTGGAGCCTGAGACCAGTGTATGTGGGATTTGCTGTGTTCTGGTGTGTCTGCTGGTTTTGACTGAATCCTAGCATTGTGAAAAGCTCTGAGGCGGTCACCATTAAACCCCTTACAGCCATGAGTATTTGTTTAATTGTACAGAATACTCCCCAGCCTGTTCATTTAGCAGTGTTAAAGGATAGTATTTGGAAAATCACTAGAATGTGTTTGCCAGCAAAGTATTGAACCTGATAAAATTTTGGTTGCCATGGTAATTAACCCATCTGTTTACACATTCATGAAAAACTGTTATTTATGAACCCCTCCTGAATGTAAACATGGCATCTTTTAGCTGTAGAATCATGTTAACAAAAAACTTTAGTGTTCCCTGAAGCTTAGATTGGGGAGTCCTTTTGTAAAAGGGGTCGTGGGGCTCATGCTCAGCCTTATACTGTTGAATTTCCCCCTCAGTATCTTACTTCTTTGAGAAAAAACGTGAGTGGTCTCAAACCAGTCGTTTCAGGAGAAATGGTAGCATTTAGTTTTTTGAATTGTTTGTTAAATTGCATAGGTGCAGTGCAGTGCCATGTTTGGTAGAGATTATAAAATTTTGAAATCAATTTGTATTTGATGATTTAAAACTGGCCCACTCAAAACTACTTCTGTCATTTTACACAGACCAGTACCATGGAAAATGGAGCCAGCATTTTCTTCTGTGCTCTGCCACACATTTTCCTTTTTTCACTTGGATATATATATTTTATAAATACTGCTTGACATTGATTATTTATGTGAAACTGAAGCTAGGATAGTAGGTTACACATCAAGAAAGAAACTTGAGGATTTTCATTGCTCATTCGTTTGAAATAATAAGGAGAAATTCTATCATCACTCCTCCTTAATTGATGATTGCTTTTTATTAAGTTACATTGTGTATGTATTCATAGCCTAATGTTTATGGAAGCTGGGAAGAGAAGAGGGTGAGAAGTTATAATCTTGCATAACAGACTGTATCAGATAATTTAGATTGTCTTTTATTCCCTATAGTTCTTGCCCACAGATGTTGGCCAATTTTGGCAATCTTTTAATTTGAACCAAAGGAAAGGTTATGTGAACATAGCCCAAATAAATCAGGTGTTAATTCCCAAACTCAGCAAATGCATTATGCAGACTAAAGAGTTGAATTTCACTGAGAAAAAGTCAGCATTATTTAAAAACTCAAGAATGATTCATCTGTGAACTTCTGAGTTGCCACAGAGTGAAGTGATCTAGGTACAGCCCTAGAAAGAATGAGGTTCATCCTAAAGAAACCAGATAGAGAGAAAGATTGGGTTTTAATGGTGTAACTACTCAGAGCATTGAGGAATAGAGAAAATGTTTGATGTTTGTTCAATTAAATACATGTGTTATAGGATTAGTATACCCAGATGAAGGGTCTGTTTTAAAATGAGAGTAGTTATGAAATATTGGATAAGTACACCACAACCACCCAATCAACACAACTTTAGCCATGGTCTACATTAAAAGAAAGAAAAAAAGGGATAAATCCATAAGAAAAATGTGTCTATGTGTGATCCAAAAAATAAGGTTCACTTCTTGAGCTCCCAATAGCATTGAGTCTTGGGGTTTAGTTTGCATAATACATTCCATTAATTTCAATTCAAATGCTGGATATAATAGAGTCTAAGATGTGGTGAAGAGCTTTTCCTTTGCTAGGATTTAGTTAATGAGAAAAAACAATCTATCACATTTACATACATATATGACATACATATTAATATCACATATATATGGCATAAGGACATTATTTAGAAAATTTCTAATAAAAAGTATCCTTTAAGTCACCATATAGCTAACTGCTTCCAATCCGACATTTTCACCTTACAGAGAAGGGGGAGTCAGACAAAAAATCTTTTTTTTAGATTTATTTTATTTATACAAGAACTGGGGTACAGGCCAGATGCGCGGGAGGGTGAGAGGATTCACCAGAGAGAGAGTGGGGACAGAACAGAACAGACAGACTGACCGAAATACACTGCTGAGGGGAGCAGCAGGTGAGACAGGAGAGGTCTGCCGAGCCATGTGGGTTGCTCCGCGAACAGTGGGTATCAAACCGGCACTGCAGAGGCTGCACTCAACCATCTGTACCACCAGGTAGGCCCAGACAAAAAATCTTTTTCCCTTGTAACACATGTCTAGCCTTCGCTCAGAGCCAGAAATCTCACCATTCCCTTCACCTTACAAATGAGAGGGCAGAGACTCAAGAAAGCAAAGCAACTTGTCCAAAGTCACACAGCTGATAGTGGAGACTAGACTTGAAGTCAGACTTCCTGATGCTTCTCTATTTCACTGGGAAGTATTTCCATTGATTACCAACCAATTTCCACTACTTTTGAAAGACAGAAGGTTCTGGGTAATATAGTTGTTCCAGAATTGGATTAGCCTTGCTTGAGACATTGTCTGAGCTTCTGAAATTTAGGAGCTAATTCTGCAAAGGGGAAAGGTTATACATGTGCATCCAAATGCCTCTATGACCCTGTAGACTGGTACTTGATACCAGAGGTTTTTTTTTTCCCCCCTTAGGAAACATACATGCACACGTAAATATTGAATTCCATGCATGCACATATACTCACACCCATGTATAGTGTATATATACACACATGCATATAAAATACATATTTACCCACCCATGCATATATTTCGAATGAATTTGTTCACATGTGTTAAAACAAAAACTGTACACTCTTGTTGAAATATGTTAAGCTGAGCTGTAGTCTAGGCAGTTCTGTGTAGGTGACTCACCAGCGCTCCATCGCTGCTGCCCAGTTCTTCTGCCCCTTGGCTTTCACTCCGCTTTCCTAGCCGGCTCTTTGACCTCTTCTCTGCTCATTAAACCACTGCTGCAGTGCAGGGGCAGTGATAAAAGTACTGTGGACACACAATACGTGTTTGTTTGCATTTCATTCAACTTCTTTTTTGCACTTTTGTTCTGCACTGACTCTGAACTCTGCCGTGTTCTGAGGTGAGTAAGGCACATTGACGTGCCACATTACTGACCTCGTGAGCAGAATCCAGAGCTGGTTCTGCTGTTCAGTCTTTTCTCTTTTTTTTAAGATTTATTTTTTTATTTATACAATAGCTGGAGTACAGGCCAGAGGCGCAGTAGGGTGAGAGGATTCACCAGAGACAGAGTGGGGAGCAGAACAGGCAGACAGACTGAAAGCACTGCTGAGGGGAGCAGCGGGTGAGACAGGAGAGGTCTGCCGTGCCATGTGGGAATCTCCCTGGCTGGCCGGGAATTGAACCCATGCTGCAGAGGCTGCAGGCAGCTTCACAGCGCTGAGCTCAACCCACTGCACCACCTGGAAGGCCCTGCTGTCCAGTCCTGGGGGCAGGTCCTTTCTCTCCTTTCCTTCTCTAACCCTCAGGGCAATTTCTTCTGTACAGGGCCTCCCTGGTGGCACAGAGGTTAAAACTCTCAATGCTATCAAACCATCACCAGCTACTGCATGATGAGTTCAATCCCCAGCCAGGGCGCTAACCCACATGGCGCAGCAGCCCTCTCCTGTCTCAGCTGCTTCCCTCAGCAGTGTATTTCATTAGATCTGCCTGTTATGCTCCCCACTCTGTCTCATGAATCCTCTCACCCCATGAATGTGTGGCCTACACCCCAGTTCTTCTATGCATAAATGAATAAAAAAAGTCTTCAAAAAATTTCTTCTGTACAATGATTACATTGTTTTTCTACTTATTGTTTTCCTTACTTGACTTGAAGTTCCTTGTGGATAGGGTTGCCAGGTGGCTTGCAGTGAAACGAAGTTCTTGGCATGTATTCACTTTCCCCCTCTGCTCTAAACCCCACTCCTCTGTACCTCACGGCCAGCCTTCTCATTAAACATGCCTCCAGTGCAATGAAGGAATAGTAAACTAACTTTAATGATCTCTTTAATTTTTCCTCCAATTTATTTCAAATCTCAATCCTTCAACTACTATAGGTCTTTAACACAATAGAAATTAATTTATTCATAATACTGAGGATTTCTTCTAACCTAGTGATTTATATATATATATATTTAATTATAGTATGTAATCAATCTATAATATGAACAGGACTACTTCTTATCTCTTA